TTTCCCAAGTGTGTTATATAGGTTTTTGTGCATGTAAATTGTCAGCTGAGTCTAAAAACCCCAAATGCCTCCATTGGACTTCTTTGTTTACTTCAGTAACTTTCTAATTGGCTTGCGCTCCAACACATTGCACGTGATTGGACAGGCAATACGAGAAAAATATAGAGCTTTTTGAACATTTTAAAATGTAAAAGTGTCACAGCAGAGGCACAATATACAGATATGAACCTGAAAATGAGCAAAATATGTCCTTTTTAGTTTCCCAGTGATACACCATGTTGATTTACAAGTTGTTTCAGAGGCTTTTTTTAAACCAAAACATTGGATGAAACACGATTTCGGTGCAAGACAAATATCAGCATGTCCAATATCAGCATGTCCACCAGCAGCTTCTGTCACAGCCTTACTTGGCCCTCGAAACCTTATTTTGTTCAAACACTGGTAGCAACATCCTTCACCACCAGCACACCGCAGATATCAACATCTATCCTCCACACTCCCACACTCCATCCGCCTCATTAGCAGAGACAGGCCTCGTTTAAAACTGAACAACCTGATAATTGCACACAAACAGAGCAGAAATAACCAAATAGCACTAACCCCCCAAAAAAAGGCTTGCTGCTCCACCACAATGCAATCATGATTTGGCAAAGTTTGGGATGAAGTTATTAAAGGACATTTGTAGAGCCTGAAACCAGCTGTGCTGCAATGATGTGGCCTTTTTTTTTTACGGAAAATATACCCTGCTTACTTAAGGATTTTTTCCCGGTTGCGGCCTGCAGACTAAAGAGATCCTTCCTGACTTCACCACAAGCTTCGGCAAGGATTTTTTCCTAAGCCCATAAACATTTCTCTCTGTAGCATGTTCTTTAGAATTGATGTTAAAAGTGAAAGAACGAGAGGAATGCACCAGAGGAATCACAACTGTCAGCTAACAGCTCTGTTATTACCTCTGACGTTGTGAACTTTCACCCCTCACTGTATGCCGTTTTGGTGATTTATAGCTGAAATATGTCAAGATGTATAAGTTAAACTGTGTTAGAAGAGGGAACTGTAGGCCTTTTGATAGACTATTTTAAAGGTCCCATGTCATGGCCATTTCTACTGATCATAATTCCATTGTTGAGGTCTACTAGAATAGATTTCTGATGTGCAATTTTCCAAACTCACATTGGTTTCTCATACAGCATCTCTGTATAGTATGTGTATTCACTCTCTGTCCTAAACGGCTTGTTGGAGCTCCTGCCCCCCCCCCCCCCTCCCTGTGAGCCCAGTGGCCGTCAGCAAGACAGCGAGACACAGCGAAACCCAGCCTGAAACACACACACACAACCGCAGCCTGGCTGGGAGTTTGTGTGTGTGCCCAGGCTGAGTTCCGCGATGTCTGGCCGACCCCACACCAGTGAGCCTGCTCACAGTGTTCCGCTCCTAAGCAGCAGCGAGCCTCGCAAAGTCCTGCCAAGTGTGTGTGTGTGAGGAAGTCCGCGGATTGGTCCAAACGTAACTATACCCAAGATGCAAACAATGGAAAATGAAAAATCTCCAACGAGGCGTTCTGGGGCAGCAGACAGGTATTTTCTGTGTTAGAGTTTTACTCGCTACAGGGTGTACTTTGAGGGTTTGTGACTCTGTAGAACGTTTACATGCAGAAAAAGCTACATAACACACAAGGGGACGGGTAATAACCAGAAAAGCATGACATGGGACCTTTAATGTAAAGCAAGGTCCTGACTACACATTGAAATACAATTATGTTAATGCACATATAGTTAACATAATACTATATATCTAAAAACTTTATTTAAAGCCAGATTAATTTATCAAGCCCTTTTTAATTAACAAAACAGACACTATTATAAACAAGCACATCTAAGCGTAAAACCATAACATTAAAAATAATCTAAACAAAAAAAACCTAAAGAAAAAAAACCGAGTTATGCACTTGTTTGGGACTTCATGAGAGACGGTTCTTTGTCAGGCCAACAGCCAGAAGTCCTGAAGATTTGAAGCTCATTCAAAGGGTTTGTAAGAATATTACTGGAGTAGGAAACAAAAGAAAGACATGTATGTTAAAAAAGTCGTTTTTCTTTTATTAATTTAAGAAGAAATAAGAAAATTCCTTGAACTGCTGATTGTTTATACAAGTAAAACCTGTTATGGCCGTTTGCGACATTCAATCCCATGAATATTAAGAATGGAAAAGCTAAATATTTTGTTCGCAGCCATCTTTAATTTTTCTAAGCATTGCCTTGACACACCCAAAAGGCCACTTCACTGTTGATTCTGTTTTCTTCAAGGTTGTATCTTCCCGGTCGAATGTACTTATTGTAAGTCGCTTTGGATAAAAGTGTCAGCTAAATGCAATGGAATGTAATGTAATGTTGCCACGGTAACACCTCATAACAGCCAATCGTATTCTAGAACCTTGAGTGATGTCATCGCGCCATTGGCTTTTAAATCCCCTTCGACATTCCAACCAGAGTTTACAAGTAGGACTAAAACTAATGATCCTTTTCACTCCACACAGACTTGGCGATCGGTCGACACGTACAACACAGCTCGAATTTAGGACCAAAAAATACCCTTTTTCCCCATCAAGATTCCAGCATACTGTCTATCTTACGATGTCTTCTTCAGAAAGCATGGCCTCCTGCTCGGATGTATGGGAAACCAATAGCGACTACGATAACATGAGTAAGGCGCTAGAAGCTATCAACGGAAAGTTAAAGTCCTGCCATCTTGAAGCTAACAGCATAAAGAACAAGTTGAACAGCTTTCAGTCTTTGGGGGAGAGATATGACAGCATGCAGGCAGCGGATCAAACTGCAAGGCAAAGATTAGCTTTCATTCAGAAAGAGGTCAAGTCGCTCAGAGAAAGGATCTTAAATAACAGCGATGTTGAAGTCCAGTTTAAAAAGACCTTGGAGCAAACTGCCTCAATGCACGCTCTACGTGAAAAACTAAGTGTAAAAAGCGTTGCCCTGCAAAAACAGCTGGAGGAAATCGACGTGATGAAAGCACAACAGCAAGCTGAATTAGCGGGGCAAACACAGCTCCAAAAAGAAATTGAAGGGATGCAGGCAGCTCTTATCAATTCTAATGCTTCGGAGGAAACCAAAAAAACACTAATACGGGTAACAGCGGAAACTCAATTTGAAAATAACGTCCTGAGAAAAGAACTTTTTCAACTTAAGAAAAGACAAACTATTTTCAAGGTCCTGGATGACAAATACCACAAAGCAAAGGCAGAGAAACAGGGGATCTGCCTGCAGAACCATACTTTGCGACAGGACATTGAGAAAATGCACAACGAGCTTGAGAATGAGATCGTAATCCAAGAGATGCTGGACAGAATGAACGCCTCAAAGAAAGAAGAGCGCCGTCAAAATGAGGCCTTACAGAGAGAAAAGGTCCGGCTTGAAAAGAGGCTTCTGCGAGTGGAAGGTTTGAAGGAATCATACACTCTCGCCAAAGCTGAGACCGACTCCATCCTCCAGCAAAATGAGGCTTTGAGAGAAAATATCAAAGAGTTATGCCAAGAGCTTCAAAAGGAAAATGCAGCACAGGAGAAATTGGACGAAATGAAAAAATCAAAACAAGCCATGTGTCTTCAAAATGACACCCTGCAACAGGAAGCCTCAACGCTCAAAGAGAAGCTCCAGGTTTTGGAAGATTTAGAAGAGTCTTGTAAGGAACAACTAGTTCAGAAAAAGGCCTTCTCGCAAAAGAATAACCTGTTGCAGAATAGGATTGAGGATTTGACCAAAGCAGTCCAAAATAAACAAGGCGTGCGCGAAAAATACGAGGCGATGAGAACATCTATAGATGCCTTGAGCAGCGAGAAAGACACCCTGCAACAACAACTCCAGGATCTTAACAAACAGCAAGAGGGTCTTAAGATCTTGGAGGCCTTGCACAGAGAAGCATCCGACCGTGTGGATGTACTGCAGGGGGGAAATGTATCTTTGCAACAGAGCATCAATGACGTCAACGAGCAGATCAGGATGAGACTACACTTTAAGGGAGAGTTTGAACACCTTGAAGCCGCTGAGGAACCCCTCCAGGCAGAGAAAAGCGCGCTGAGTACAACTCTCGCTGAAGTCCAGGAAAAATGTCTAAGTCAATCTGATTGGCAGCAAAAATACACAATTCAGAAGGGGCTGAGGGACAACCTGCAGACAGAGATTGAAAAGACAGCGGAGGACATCACGTTTTTTCAAGACAAGCTCAAAAGTCAGGATGAGTTTGAAGCTCAGTACAAATCGATGAAGGCATTCAAAAAAGTAGCCTCAAAGCAGAATAACAATCTGCGCAAACATCTGAACGACGTGCAGAGAAAGTGCGGATGCGAACACACTCTGCGGGAGAAGATCAGCGCCGTTCAGGAAGAAACCAGGACTCTCCAAAGCCAGAATCAAGAGCAGCAAGATCAGATCAAAACTCTGACAGACATGCTCGGTTTGTACGATTCCCTGAGAGCCGGAAACAGCGCCACGACACAGGAGGGGGAGAACCTTCTGGAAGACCTCCGAGAGATCACAAAGGGAGTGAAGAGGAGAGCCCGGGAGGCAAGGAGACGAGGCAGCAAATAAGAGCAGGTCCTCATCTTTAGCTATTAGTGTCAGGAAAGGGTTAACACCGGGAGCTCCGGGTTTTTCCCGAACTTACCAATTTTCTTAATTTGGTAATGTCAAAAAAATGTACTTTCTTAAGTTGGTAATTATTTTCTTTTTCATGTAATTGTCTTGCCAGCATAGTGAACCCCGTTGTGAAAACGTAGACATGTCCGGTAGGGCATAGAAACTGCCATCTATGCTAACTTGCATATGTTAAAAGTGACTTGGCTGATTTTGATAATTTTGGAGTGGTTTGGGCGTTATTGAGGATGCTGAATCCATTTCTGACATTTTCAGGATCAAAATTGTCAGTTTGAACTAGAAAGTGGCATTAAAGAATCTTTTTTGGAGGGAGGGGGGATAAAGAAGTAAGAAGGGGGTGAGGTAGATGAACAGGTGGTGTCATTTATCTTCTTCTCGAAGTAGTCAGCAAGGGAGGAAGGAGCTGAGGGACGGGGGGATCAAGAAGGGGGGAGAATATTGAGTGAATTGTTGTTAATGTTTCCAAACTATGTCATTGTGATGTGTCATTGTGTGCTTTGAAAGGCGCTTTGAAATAAAATGTATTACTATTATTAATATTAATATCATGTTTAAGACTTTTGTGAAACTTGGCTTAACACATTATTTTAAGAAAATAATTTGGAATCACGTGTGAAAAAAATAAAAGCAAAAATATATACCCAACATTTTTTGTTATCATGTTCATGACTCATTTTTGAGAATTGCCTGCACACAGGAAATGTGTCGGTATCACAAAAATACATATTAACATCATAATTCTGTTATTATTTATTGTATTACCCGGCATCTAAATGACCCCACATATGATTATTGTCACTATGTAGAATATCATAATGCACATTTAGTTAAATTAGTTGGTGTCAGTTACAAATAAGAAATACATATAAGCCTGTATGGTATTTTGCCTCATATTTTAGTTTTTTATTAGAGTTTTTTCTTTGATATTTATTGTCAGCTTAAATCTGATTCAGTCTTAGATGTCAATAGATGACACATCTATTCTTTACATTTTGTCAAGCTACAGAAGTCGCTGTGCTTTTGAACTCCCTTTTTTGGAAAAAGCATTTTGACCTGCAAATAACCAAAACCATGTGTACACACACATGCAGTCTCACACACACTCTGGTTTGGTCTGTGACCTCTGTCTGGACGTGGTTTACCGGATTACATTTTTATTTTCACCCCTAGGCCCCAAAAAAAAAAGATTATGTGCTCGAAACTGTCCGTGTGCTTTTTGTGGACATAAATTGTGTTAATTCCACCTGAATGTTAGCAGGCCGGCAGCTCAATAAACACTTTATTTAATGAAGTTCATTTGACAGCCAGGACCACAAAGCCTCTGCAGCGGCGCGGCTTTGTCCGGGCATGACTCGTTAAAAAAGCCACCGGTGGTGCAGACTCAACATTATAAGCGTAACCTCGACAACGAGGGCTTTTTAGTGGGAACAACCTGAAACAGAAGGTCACTCACTCTTCCGTTCTCCTCTTTACTGCATTCCTTTTCACATGTCACACCCAGACACGGCATGTTTCAGGCGGTTCATGCAGAGACATGGTGAAAACATTTACAAAGTTGAACACATTTCAAAGCTGGTAGACATTACAATTAAAGGGGCCACATTATGTTCCTTTCCAGGTTCATATCAGTATGTATTGTCTCTACTGGGACATGTCTCCATGCTTTAATGTTCAAAAAGCTCTTTATACCTCTCATACTGCCTGTGCTGCAGCACCTCTTTTCCCCCTCTGTCTGAAACCAGAGCCCAGTCTGCTCTGATTGGTTAGCTGGCCTGCTCTGCTGTGGTTGGTCAACTGCTTAGAGATGTCCCGCCCCTTAGCCTATCACGTACAATGCGTTGGAGCGCAAGCCAATAACTATGTTACTGAAGTCAACAAAGGAGTCCAATGGAGGCATTTCAGAAAGTCTGGAGGGAACCTTGGGATGTGACTGAATGAAATGTTACTCTAATTGAGAAAATACTATCTTTCTGTCATAATAACACGACAAGCCTGTGAGTCTTATCTTCTGCTCGGGGCCGTCGGGGGAACCATTATGACAGTTGCGTGAACTCTCATGATCTTGAATACACGCTGCAAAATGTCTGTTTGAATTGAGTTCCCCACCAATAGTGTTATATATTGATGTCACTATGCTGCAGTCCAATGGAGGCGTTTCAGGATCAGAAATGTGTTCAGCGAGGTCTATAGGCAGCACCACCTTCTTCTCAAAGGACAAATACATGCGATGTCGAAATTGGCCCTAAAGAAAAACAATCTACGTGCAAATTAACACATTATGTAAATAAAAGCCTTTACGGTACTTTCATTTATTTCAGGATCCATAGCATAGAGGGAAATATGCAGCAAAAGAGCTCCACGTAGCATCCCTGTAATTTGAACTATGGTTGCATAAGAAACTACGCTCACATTTTCTGAGAGATAAGATATCTCATATCCCTCATATGTACAAATAAAATAGATTCATTGTTTGAACTGGAGGTGAAGTTGGGTGCGTTTGTTCCTGTTCAGCCTGTTTCGCTGACGTTGAAAACAAGTAAACAGGCTCAGGTGGTCACCTTTCTTCCTGCAGGCAACCTCATTAGTGATTGACAGCCCGACTCTATGTTTGTTATGTGTCATTGAAATGATTCTGCTAACTCTCTCTTGTCAGTGCAGTTGAAGAGAGGTGCACTCTGGATGACCTGAACACAAGGTGCATGGCCATAAATGGGGACAAAAGTTCAGTGTATGTTGCACAGATTGCTCTGCTACTTAATCCAGCTCTGGATTTATATCTGTATGTTCAAGATGTTGAAACAACAGATGCAGATCCTCCCCGACAACCATACAAATTGTGCCCAGAGCAGCTTTAGGGTCTTGTCGTTTTTGTCCCGAACATATTTGTGTGCCCAGCTTTTAATCCCCGAACACAACGCCCGCAGATGGATCAATTCCTGCAGCTGTAAGCGGCATAATGCAGCTTTGAGGCTGCAGGATGTGCCGGCTCTCTCGCAAGTGTTTTTAATTTAACCCTCCATGGCTGACAATCAAAGGAGGGGAAAGGTGAGAGGTGGAGGGGGATTTAGAGGTGATTCTCTGGGGAACATCAATGTCAGACTCCTACACATCCATACCGACTCTGAGCAGCCATGCGTGCAACTGAATGCCTCGCCTCACACAAGTAATGTAATCAAAGCTCTGCTCTGAAAGTATCTGTAGCTTCTCATCCAACACACACTCGGAGAACCACACCAGTGGTTAAAGCACACTTACTACAAATGATGTGTGTCTTTGAAACAGGATGTTTTTGCTTTGTTGTTGACTTGTTTTCAGAAAAAAACATGTCACGGTTCCAGTTTTACAAATGTGTGTTTCTTTAAATAATATTGAGGTTTGGACAAAATAAACATTTTCAAGGTCACAGTTGCATCATGGGAGATGTTTTTTGGAGTTTGAGCAAGAAAGACTCAAATTTGAAAATGTAATATCTTTTTTCCTAACTTTCTCTTGGGTTTGACACTTTTTACGGCAAAAAATATAAATTTAATCTTTCTATTTTTTAAATATATATATAAATAAAAAATATTATAAAATATATATTACTGTAAAAAACAAAAGTATGTGACGTTATTTGCGACAATTTCCAAAAAAACTTTGGAAGTAAAAAATAGAAAATATTTCTGACCCAAATGTTATGGATTGTTGTAATGGATTTAATAGATAAAACTGTGTCAGAAGACCATAATGTTTTACATGAATTCAGTCTTTGGAATGTAATCTAATTTTTCAGTAAAACGGAAGGGTTGTTACCAAAAACTGGGGCAGATGAAGTCACACAGTGGAGAATAACAAATGTTTTGGAACAACAACAAAAGACGTGCCAGAAAATCTTTAAAAAGCATTCGGCCTCATGGTCTGACTATAAAGATCGAGACGGATGTAAAGTTTGTAGGGATTCATTTAAGTTTACAGACTTCCTTTAAGGTTTAACTCAATATAGAAATACAACCAACAAGAAGTAACAAAAATGTCACACTGTATTTCAGGACTCTGGTTCCTGGAGGGATCTGGTTTTAATTCCACACACACACACACACACACACACACACACACACACACACACACACACACACACACACACACACACACACACACACACACACACACACACACACACACACGGCTTATCTGAATCAGAAAAAAACTATGATTTTCCTTCTGTGTGAAGTGACGGTAAGTGGAAATGCCGCAGGGCCATGGGACAGACAGCGGTGCTCCTGTTGTCTTCACCCTGAAGGACAGACAGGACCACATGCAGGACACCAAACAAACAAATAGAGGAGACACCATGGACACAAAGAGAGACATTTACTCAAGCACTGCCGTGTCAAGGCTGAAAGGATTGGTTAGGTTTCTTTCTAAGATTAAACTATTACTTTTATAATCCTTAGCTGCAACGCATAAGCCTTGACTAACTACTGGAGGACGTCAGATCAGCATGTGATTGGTTGATGCTTTTATACCGGGTGGAAAAACTCACCTGCGTCTCTATTTACTGCATATTCACGATCTGTGTGAAAGTATTATGACAGAAAAATATATATTTACCTGCTAATTAATTACAAGCAAGAAAAGGTCCCTGTTTGGTAAATCACTAAGAGGTACATCATTACATTTTTAGAGGCCAAGATTGTTTAAACAGCAAGAAAGAAAGATAAATATGAAAATCAGGTCTAAAACAAGACTATTTCCAAAAAGTGTAAAGTTTATATTTTGGGTAACAATTGAACCCAATGACATTGTTTACAGTAGATGTAATTTATTCAATGCATTTCTGCAAAGTCAACCCAACCATCAGATATCTTTAATTTCAATATCCCTCTCAAAAATGTAAAAAAGCCTCCAAACTTCCCTTTGTGGGTGAATAAAAAGATCTTTATGTAAATACACAC